CGTGATGACTTCTCTCCCCCATTTTGATGTTGGAGGTGGAAGATGGAACTGAAGCGGAATATCGGCACCTGGCCATTTGCGCCCTGTTGCCACAATGCCGCTGTAACAACAGTGTACGGATATATTGTAATAAAGAAAGAAATTTGTCGGCTGGCTGCATATCCGCGTCCCTTTAATGCAGGGGTTTGCCCCCATTCAAAGGTTATAGGTCTTGCCAATATTCGCACTTGTCTGCAAGCAATAAGTCGAGGGGGCAACAAGTGCGTGTGGCAGCAGCAGCAGCAGCCGCCGCCTCCAGACGACGGGGGAAATGGGCCGTCATTATCGCTTCGCATGCATGTATGGCGTGAGGGTGTCGTGTCTCGTGGGGAAAGGACTTGGACGCATGCTGGGCAAGTATAACCACCACGCACTGAACACTCTCTCATATGAACATATTTTTTTTGTCCTTTCTTGGCTGGCGCCCAATGCAGGGCGCAACACGCATTCCATTTTTCTTCGCGCAATATTCGGATAACGGCCGCCCTGGTATTACGGGGTAGGCAATAATGTAGATTGTACGGAATAGCGAACGCAAGAAAAAAACGAACGCCTCGGAAGCAGTTCAATTGTAGGGAGTGCCCTTGCAGCCATTAGTTTGGCCGTTGAACGCTGCATCGTGTCAAAACATAGATGGGGGGGGAAAAGATAGAGAGAAATATGGTCGGTGCGCGCTATTGGCGTCGGGAAGCGCGCGCGAACCAAAAGTGAGGAAAACCAAAAAAGGCGGTAACAGATTTGTTTCTTTCCACCCTTCTTCCTCCTTCCCCCATGACGAGAGAGGGTTCAAAACATTGAAAGGAGCACCTGGACAACGTGTACAAAGATTCGTTAATGCGTGGAAAATTGATGGACAACCTTGTCGCATTCAATGGTCGCCAGCGAGTAGGTACTGGCTAACCAGCCCACGAGCGGTCCGTGTAGTGAGTGATTGATGAACTGGCTCACTCTGCTTTCAACCATAGCGGATACCCCCCCAGTTGGAAACCTATAAGGCCCCTCCTATTGTTGTTGGTGATATATCTTTTGAAATAACGGAGCGACCACGCAACGAGCAATACTCGGGTTCAATTAATGGGGACGACTGTAGCAGCTACCTATCGACAACAAGGATTCCTTCGCTTTCCCCCTTCCTCCTCCACAAGAACATCAAACAAAGAGGCCTGTCCATGTAATCCCTTCTTGCTGGATCTGTGCTTTTGTAATCCTGGTTGTCAGTACTATGGTCCACTGAGATAATTACGATCGGGAGCCAAGCGATGGATTTGCAGGCGGTGGGATATTGCAGACGATGATGGATACTACTATATTGGAATGGATACCCAGGCTGGCGGTTTTTGTTGTCAGGATACCTTATAAGCACTTGAGAGACCTGGCAGATATAGCCTTTACGCCGACAGGAGACTCTACTGCTTGCGAGGCCTGCAAGGAAAATCATTAAGTCTCCCAGCCATCCTTTTGTGCCTGACTATCAAGTTAAATTGATACTAGCTTATTAATTGCCCATGTACGGAAATGGTTATAATATCATTTATACGAAGCGTTTATAGATTTGTGTAACAGCCAGGACAGGAAATTTAATGTGCAAGTACCTACTAGGTATGTATGCTCTGTGTGTGTACGTACCTACATAGTAGCTCCAAGCTAAGCTCTGCCTGACTCCCAGTAGGTTGGTCCATCTCTGACCAAGACGTGACGTCTTCAAGTAATTGGATCGCGATGGCACATTTGCCTGATTCGAAATGATCGCGATGCTAATCCATATTGTCGTCACTGGGATTTGTTTCTTCTCTTCTTCCCCTCTGATCTTTTCTTTTTGATTTTGCTCTTTTTTCGTTTTTCGACTGAAGAGTGGGCAGCCGCGTACTAGTTTGGCAACCAGCACAGCGCATCAATACATACACTGACACAACCACGCGGGGGATCCGCCATGTAGGTACTGCACACACGCTATGCACAGGGCACATTCTAGTGGCTTCTCGGTCAATGCCGATCCCTCTGCTGACAACATCAATGTTTTTTTTTTTTTTTTTTGCATCGGATACTTGCAACCAAGCACCAGTAATGATCATGATCAGTGCGCAGTACTACCTACTGTTAGTTGCAGAGGAGAGGAATACATACGTACGATACAGCAGGGTAGGATTTAGTAAATCAGGCTGTGTGTTGTTGAGTCCAGCCCAATTCGCGACATCATCTCTCTCTCTCTCTCCCCTTGATACCCATTTCAAATGTGGTGCCAGAAGGGGAAAAAAGATGGGCTGTAGCATCACAAACAAGAGCGGTCTGCTTGGACCAGTGTCATCGTGTCTCTGACTGCTCGTATCTAGTGGCATTTGATGTCTTCCAAGCTCAAATGGATGGGGCCAAATGGTCTCCTCTTTGCTGGAGCAGTCAGTGGCAGAGTCAGGCGTTGTTCTCTTGACAATAAGGAAGGGTACATACATTATTACAGACGTCTACCATGGAAGCGCCAGTGAGAGAGCCTGGGATTTGCCGACCACGATGGGCGGCTTTGTTGCCGCAATGAGGCTAATGCTTTTTGCGCCGTTTGGCTGGGTCTAGGGTGTGAAGATCAGCATCCACCCACCAAGTTTCCACCAACAGGCATTTGTATCCACCAATATCTGTTCATGTATACAAAGTACACGCTACGTTCTCTCTTAATTATTATTATTATTATTTTTTTCCTGCTCTTTCAGTTGAGCCCCATCCCAAGATGATCAGCCAGCGAAGCCATCGTACCCTCCTCTTCCACTCTCACGCTCCACTGCCCATTTTGCTTTCTCGACTTAGCCTTGCCGCACTTGGCGACGAAGGGTAATGACTGTTGAGCGTAACGGGGGAGAGCTTCTGGGGGCGCCGCCGCAAGGGTCATGGGTATGGTCGTACATAGTAGGTATTGTCTGGATTGCTTGGCACAATGGCCTTTTGCCGGTAAATCCCACATCATTGGGTTTTAAGGTCCTTGTAACCCATATCCATGTTACCCATTGGCAAGATGCGCGACCCCGTCCGCACGCACCACCCCTCCCCCCCTTTGCAATGCATAGGTGGTACAGTTGTCTTGAACAGTTCCATAGAGCACTACTAATCGACTGGGACAAACCCTCTCTTGATTTTGTTTGATTCTTCAGTCGGTTTATTTTTCGTCTCATCATTCAAGACTAATACTCTGGAGATGAGCTTTGACCCCTCAAAGAGATAAAGCCCAAAAAGAGAGACAAGCATATACCCTCTTGTGGAGCGGGTATGTAGTAAATAAGCACCGCTGGGATGATTTCAACGGCCAAGTCCGATGGACTTTGAGGAACGATGAATGGAACAAGGCTGATTTGTTTTTATTTTTGTTATGATTTGAGTAGTCTTGATTACTTGCTCTTGCGCTGTCGGCAGTCGGGGAAGAAGGGCGGTTGTCCAAACAAAAAAGAGAAATTTGAGAAATTTGCCATGGTTGGTGATCTTCATCATATTGGTTCGGCAGGCAAGAACAAGGCCAGTAACAATGTGCCTTGTGCAGTATGGACTCGCGAGCCACGTGACGTGACTAGACATCGGCGGGCTCCCTAGGACGGACCGGGGTCACAACACCTTAAGATCGGGCACATATAGATTGGATGGGACGGGGGGTCGACCATCTGTAACAGATGTTTCTGCTTGTTACCCTCCAACAGATAGCAACTAGTAAACGAGGGCGGCTCAAAGGGGGCCCGAACAATGGCGACTGTCACGCCAACCCACTCTTACTACCACCACCACACAGATCCGTTCGTGTGTTGTAACACGCGATAGGGGGGGCGAAGTGATGGGGAAAGAATGGTGGTAACTTGGGTACGTATTTTGCAGATGCGTAGGTAGGCGAAAGGACAGGAATGAGAGAAGAAAAAAGAGGAGTATGGTGCCATTGGATTCGTTCGTGAAACTCAAGTGCCGATGGTTTAAGCTTCACCTAAGGCCTCCTGGAAGGATCTGTGCATCTTTTTTTTTTTTCTGGTTGCGCAAGATGATCTTCCGCCACTGAGTTGTTTCTCTGTCTTTTGTCTTTTTCCCCCCTGGTCTTGGCGGTGCACTTGGCTGCAGCGCCGATTCATGTCGTTTTACGAATTAGCAGCGGAAAAGGCACGGGAAAGTGGCCGGCGGCTTCGGCAATCTTAAAAAACCACAAAGTTCAGCTGGAGACTTGTCATTATAGTCGTATACAGATAGGAAACACCACAGAAACGCATGAAAAGTCGCACAACACATAGCAATGATTGAATGGAATGTCGAGGGATAAGTAAATATTTTGATCTTGGCTAGTACATCTTCCATTCCATTTCCATTCAGTTGGTAAGAGTCGCCTTCATGATATCTCTTCATCGTCTTTCGTACAAGCTTGGAAAAGCTGCCTGCCTTGCTCTGCCTTTTGATCCCACTCTGCCTCGACTCTTGAACAAATGATGCGTCTTATCTAGGTATACATTAGAGAAATACTCCCTCCATCCCCTCCCTTGCCTAGAGAAAACATGATTTTTTGCATCTTAGTGCAAGAAAAAAAAAACCAAAAAATCAAACTCCTGTGTAAATGCCCGATAAGAAACCACTTCCCCTTGCGCCGCCGGCAATGAAGATAATAAAGAAAACTGTAAATATGACAAAATTTTGGCGCAAATGATGCTAGTGCCGATAGCAGACTCCGACATCCTAACTTCAGACGATAGGTCGAAAAATAAAACATCCCAGTTGGTATATGGTGATTTGAAAACTCCTGAATGCCTAAACTCGGTGGCAAGCCATTGTACCGTGAGGTAGCGATTCCTATCCGTCTCTCCGTTCGTCTGTGATTATCCTGTTCCGTAATTTTGCGCGCAGGATTAAAAAAGGTCGTATGTGTTGGAATAAAAGACATGGTCGAATGTTATACGATCGATTGGTTTTCACAACCATTTTTTCTTCCTCTCCTTGTTGCTTCTATTGCAGGCTTATCGCATGCCCGAGCTGCTAGCCTCGAAGTTGTGGCATCCACGCTCGTGTCTCTTCATGTTGCTCCTGACGCTAAAGGCCTTTCCGCAACCAGAATGAGGGCACTTGAACGGCTTCTCTCCGGTGTGAGAGTGGCTGTGGATGCGGAGCGAGCTAGGACGCGAGAAGGCCTTGTTGCAGGTCTGGCAAATGTAGCGATCCTGGGACTGAGGGAAGGATGCTGCCGAGGAAGGCGAGATGTAGTGGTGGTGTTGCCATGGGTTAGGTCCAGAAGCAGGTGGTAGAGGCACAGAGACAGCCATAGGGGGGAAGGCCTGCTTCAAGTCAGTATAAGCATTAGTTACTCGGTATCGTGATTCAAGTACCTGAGGCAAGGGTCTCTGGTAGTAGAGTCCAGATATTTGAGGCTGAGCCGAGGGTGCTGGCTGGTAGTAGGCCAAAGAGGGCTGGCTCATGTAAGATGGAGCTGCATATGGCTGGTGAGAGTATGCTGGGGCTTGAACAGGTACTCGAGGGATAGTGGCAGCCGTCATTTGGTGGCGTTGGATCTCTGTCTCCAAGGGCGGCGTAGACTCGTAGTAGTAGTTTGGTGCAGAAACTACAGACACTTGGCTGACTGATCTGGTCGAAGGCGATGCGTGGCCCTCGAACGAGGCATCGGTGCTCATGGGAGGGGTTGGCGGCATGGCTGCTCTTGATGAGGCATTGTTGCCGTAGTGAGATGAGTTGGGCCGTGTCTCAGACTTGATCGAGGAAGCTGTGGGATGGGTTAGGATCTGTATAGACTTGTTCCTGCGCACCAGTGAACTGTGCTCACCTTGCTGTGACTGCTGTAGAGAAACTGGAGAGCTCTCCGTTGTCGGGGATCCAGCATCGGCCACCACCAACAGGTTCGAGATAGAGGGAAGCGAGCATTTTGAGGCCTCGTCTATCGGAGGCGAAGGCGGAGGCTGAGGGTAACCGTAGTGAGCACCAGGCTGACTTGTGTATATAGATGCTGCCATTTTTGCAAGTACGTGATGTGTATGTGTGTATGTACGTGTCAAGCGGTTCTTTCTTGTTGGCGTTCCAATTAGCGTGTATGTGTAGTAGTAGAGTATTATAATAGTTGTCGGATTGTTGCCAGAGTATTAATACGGTCGAACAGATGGGATTCTGAACTGTCGAGGAGAGATAGCACCGGGACCGTTGATGTAAGTAAGTAGTATTAAAGTAAAAAGAATCTTGATCTAGTCAAGTGTTTGTTTTGGGGTAGGTTGGCAAATTGGTGTGGGAGTGGTGGTCACTTATGTACGGCTGGCCATGGAAGTCGACGACGACGAGGATTGGATCTGTATCTAACAGATCTCCCGGGAGTACATAGAAGAGAGACGATCAAGCGTCAATCTCCAAGATAATCCCTGGGCAGCAGCTGTCACAAATTGTGTGTGGGTCTGACCAAAGCTCTTCGAGGGGGTCACGGCAAGACCTGGGATGAAAGCAGTGGTGATCGCCGGTGTCGAGAGGTACTCCTGCGTCAACGGTAGGGAAAGAAAGGAAAAATAAAAGTAGTACGTACTTTGCTGCTATAGGCCAGTAGTACGTACCCGATGTATGGAGCCCTCTGACGAGCTTTAAAAGACTCTTGCCATGTCTTCTTACCATGTCCTTACCTTACTCTGGGGGTGCCGGTGAGATCGAGGAATGCCTGTGCTCGTCCGCCCCAACATATTGAGCATGTCCCTGTTGGACAGGGGTCCTGGTATGGACCAGTCAGTCCCGGAACATGGCTTGCATGGATTGAACAAAGGTCGAATGAACTTGGGTGTCGCCTCTTTTTTTTTGGGCTTGCTTGCTTGCATGTCTGCAGTCAGTATGGTGTCTAGTTCATCGGTACACTAGGTACGAGCAGTGTGTGTGCTAGAGTAGTGTAGGTACACAGCAGACAGAGGAAAGAGACAAGCCAAAAAGAGGTGAGGCAGGGATGGGCAGCAACAAAGTATCCAGGGATCCTGAGAAAGGTCAAACGGTCACTGGTTATGCACCAGGGCTCCTTTCTCAAGGCTTCTGGGGTGCCGAGGCGGCCAGGTCCACAGTACAGACTTGTGTTCTTGCCTGGTCCTTGACAATCGGCTGGGGGGGCCCCCCGGGCACAAGAGCACCAAATGTATTCATTTGCGCGGGCTCGGCTGCGGATGGTACTTGGGTGTGCTAAACCATTTATCCCAGAAGCCGGCCGGCCCCACATGCACTAGAGAGCATTTTGACCTTAACACGCTAAACCGGAAGACGTAGCATACTACACCTACACTAGCCCAAATGTGTCTGTCAAGGTACTGGGTATCGACCAAAAAAGAATTCGAAAGCCCTGTTCAATTCTTAAAAGTATCCTCTGTCTGTCTGCGTTGCGGGTGAACGAGGCGCAAAGCACTCCCGGGGCACTACTACCGTTTTTGGGGAGGGATGCCGCCCGGAAAGCTGGTCTGCGATCCCATAGATCCCTGGTGCGCGTGCGCTGGGATCATGTTTGGGGACATGGGTCTTGGCTGGCTCTCCTGGGGGAACTTGAGACGATAATCGACTCGAGTTCTGTCGTCCCTTGTCTTGGGTTTGATGCCGCAACAGCTTCATCGCATCAATGCTGTTGCTCGCTGGCTGGGCCCCCCGTTACATTCACTGCCTTTGGCTCAGGCTGTGACCGGATTGTACAGTTGATCTTATGCCGTTCATCCCCACGATTCCAGCCAAGCACGTCCCCAAACCAACCTGTCAACCCCATCTCCCATGCAGTCAATCTTCGGATGACCGGTTCATGTGTTGCAGAATGTTTGCATCTGTTCTGAGTTCAGGCCGTCCGTCATGGTCCATCATTCCCCCTCCCCAATCTCACATCTCCCATAAACCCACCAGGGTAGCATCTGGGCATGGTCAGATAGTCGTGGTGGAAACAGACGACATGCTGCCAAACCTGCAACAAGGGACGAAGTCAACCTTTCGGCTGCACAAGTTTCCGGCCTGTCAAGAAGAAGAAGGGGCCACTGTTGCTTGTCTAGCGCTATGTATGAGCTGGCTGCGTGCCTGGAACTCAAAACCGAATAACTATGTACTACATGATGTGGTTCATCATCATAGCACGTTCCGGATGTAGCATAGAGCAGGTATACACGAGTCTATGTTCGATGACTGGCAGGCAGGTAGGCAGGTAGGCAGGCAGGCAGGTAGGCAGACATGCAACCAAGCATGTCGTGTTGTGGTATCTGTGTCTGGTTGGGTGGCATGACGTGACGGACGACGATTATGGTCGGTCTCTCATCAACGATCTTCAGCGATCATACAACGCTGGCTTGCTTATTCATGTGTGCGCATACGTAGGAGGAGCCTTACGGCATAGCGGGGACCCGGGGGACTGACTCACCTGTCGAGAAAAGCCTTATGAGATCTCTCGCCGTGAAGGTTATTGAGATCTCATACCCAATACAGAACTACGTCCGCTGCTGAGGCAGATCTCGTGGTCCACTGTGAATGCGATGACCCCCCCGTCACGATGCCTGGTGGACAAAACTCGATCTTTGCCTCTGCCAGGCCCTGCCAGAGCAGTCGAAATACAGGTTCACGCTTTGGGCGCGACGTCATCTCTTTCCCTCTCGGCCGCCGTGGTGCTTCGGTTCTCGATCATGAATATCCCGCGCACCCGGCGCCAGCCAGTCACGCTTTGGCGTTTGAGAAGGGAAAGCGGCTGCATTAGTACGGTGGAAGTTGCCGGCCACCCTCGACTGCTGCTAGCTAAGCAGTCTGAATGTCCATGAGTCGCCAATGCCTTCGGAAGAGGCGTTCTTGTTAATGTTTCGTGAATGGATGCCAGGGGTTCCTCCTAGAAACGGAGGTTAATTTGATATGATCTTCAGCTTGGCGCCAGGAGTCGGCCCTCGCTTGCGCAGGGTGGTCTGAAGAGCATACAGGGGCTTGCAGGGGGTGATTCCATTTAGGGGTCCAGGTTACCAGATCCTGGTATCCGCCTGCTTTTTTGTCCAACCGACTATTCGGCACATATTCTGAATGATCAACGAAACGTGAGGCATGGCATTAAAGTTCTGCTAAACTCCCGAGGGCTGATCTGTGAGACCCCAAACCAAGCTGGGGTAAGGCCCAGTGGTAAATGCAGCTGAGCCGAGTCTTTTTGCGGCCCAAGATTGGGCTGTATGTAACCGATCTGTGGGAGAATTGCTGAGTAGGTAGTAGTACACTATGGATTTCTGGTCAATGTGACCTCTTCCTACCCATCGACAGGCGCATAATTCGCCCCATACTTGCACACTATGCACATAAGCAAGAGCAGCGGGTTTCGAGTGTGTTATCCCGGAACTATGGCTCTGGGTTTCGGGGAGCATGAGCCGCATCGCGACCCAGGATATATGGAAACTATCACATAGTACAAGCAGGTAGGTAGTAGGGAATAATAATAACAATAAGAGCAGTGCCTATCAGAGGAGTCGGAGCAATGCTGACTGGCGGCCGCGAGCAGAAATGAAATAGCCGATGTCTGTGAGCGACCGGAGAGAGAGCCGATGCTCGCACAGATGCTAAGTCATGCTGAGTAAGTTGGTTAGTGGCCGAGTGAGTTGTTTGTTCTTAAGCAGTTAAGCTGCACACTCTCTTGCGCTGGCGTTTGTGCCACTACTGTACAGGCTAAGGCTCCTAAAGAGACGCCAGAACTACGCCAGAATGCGCCACTGTGCTTTTTTGACTTTACCCAAGTCTAAGCCGGAATAATGAGTGCCGCTGATCATCACCTACGCTTGCCGCTGGCAATTGAATCAGGAGAATGTCCGATAGCCTGCAGAAGCCTGGAGGCCGGTGCGGATTTCTGGTATATTAGTGTCTCGATTGAAATAAAATTCCTCCAAGGCTGAGTTGCACGTAGTATACCTAGGTAATGTAGTGGCCGGATGAGTAAATAGCAGCAAGTTATGGGGCAAAATGAGTGGGTGCCTGCTATTCTTTCCGACTTGGGTATCTTTGCAATTAGTTGTGATTCGAGGCGACTTCTTGGAAATTCATAATTGTTCTTCCTAGTAGCAAACATATTAGTCCTCGTGCCGCGAAACTTTGGCGCCTAAATAAACACAAGCCGCGATCTTCTCCGCCTTTGTCAGATGATAATAGCCCATTTCCGTCCGGGATCTCATGATAATCGCCGTTTACCGAATGCCAATGTCCGCTATAGCGCTGCTAGGAGCGTGAAAGGGGCCATTTAGAGGTCATAATGAGGCAGCTAGCAGCTACCGTCTACGCAGGACTGTGATATACTCGTCCGTGCAATCCACGATAACCTTGGAAGTCTTCATGTTATAGAGCGTTCATACAGGCGTTAACCCCCTGGGTTACCATGTACTGTTGGGTGGTTTGCTAGCATCCCCCAGCTTCGCAAGCCCGTCGAGCGTTGAGATTAGGGGAGCTTGGGCCCAAATCTTCAGTGCATCTCACTGAGAAAGGACCTAACTCTGATCCATCATAGCGCGGCAACAGCTACAGTATTTTGTACTAACCGAAGATGGATACCAGTTCGTAAGGCTCTGTGGCCGTTGGAAAGGCGTAAAGGGAAGTCCCTGCTTTTGCCCTGTTAGCCGCCTGGAATTGGTAGTTCATCTGGGTTGCCCCTTTGGCACTAGCTCATGAGCTGCGTCATCAGTCTAGCCAGCCTCGGAGCTAATTTTCATTATTATTATTTCGTATCGGTGTCTGTGTGGACAAGCCTGCTCCATGGGGCTCTCTGGGGCTCTTTTTGGGGGGAGCAGAAGATGATGATGCTCAGTGTGGCTTCTCAACTGACTGGCGAGTAGCGGTCTTTCTTCGGGCTTTTGACTATCCAAACCACGAGCCCCTCCACACCTGGGAGACAGCGGACTCTGTGCGTAGACTACACTACACGCTGAATGAATAGCACACAGGCACTGGCACACACACACACATACACTACTGTGGACAGGTAACATACACTACTACTACTAATACTACTACTACTACT